CATATGAAGAAAACTGGGGATGCCTGGGTACCATATGCTCATTTTTCCTATTAAAAAAAAAAAAATTCTCAAAAAATTTGGGGCGGCTACGCAACGGAGAGAACGTATATATTACGTTTGGACCATTTAAGGGCGGAAGTTTAATCACTGAAGAAGGAACTTCTCCCTCTATATTCCTCCTCCTCCTCTGAATCAATTTCCTCAGCTGTGGTCTGTTGCTGTTCCAGAAGAAGGTCTTGCACCTCTTCAGTGGTTAGCTCTTCCCAGTAGTGGTCCTCCACCAAACTCTTCAGCATCCTCCCATAAACTCCAACTCCTTGGGACTTCCCAACGATAATAACATTCCAACATCAGGTTTAGGGTCCTTCAGCATCAGCCCCAAACCCTTCAAAATCTTGTCGAGGAACATTCTGGCCAAAAAATTATCTCCAAGCAGAGTTCAAAGTCCTGGAAGCCACTCCCTCCCAAGCCTTACCTATAAGGCTTATGCAATGGAAGATACGGAAGTGATTCCTCCAGAACTCTCTTAGGGTCAAGTCTGTGTCCGAAGTCACTCAAGCATCTTTGAAAAAAACATGCTTTCGTGTAGAGATTTCTGATGTTAGAAAGAAATGAACTGCTGGTCCTTGGGCTGGATGAAGAAGAGTGGTGTTAGGAGGGCAAAGAATTCCAGTATAAAAAACTGAATCCTTAAACAATTGATCTTTCAAATCTGGAGGATGAGCAGGAGCACTGTCCAGTACCAGAAGGCACTTGAGTGGCCATTTATTTTCCAGGAGGTATTTTTTTTACACTCGGGCCAAACACATCATGGACTCACTCTTTGAAAATTTCTCTCTTGACCCATGCCTTATTATTAGCTTTCCACATCACACACAATTTACTCTTGATGACACTGTTTTTCTTGAACACTCTGGGATTTTCAGAGTGATACACCAGTAAAGGCTTCACAATGTAATCCCCCACTTGCCATACCAGAGAAACAATTGAGTATGCCTGTCTTTTTCATAGCTTGTGTCCTGGCAGTGTCTTTTCCTCCTGCATGATATTAGGTTCCCTCTTCTTTGGCCTTTTCTTCCAAAAGAGCCTGTTTTGTCATAAATGAAAAAACTTGTTGGGGGAGGGAATCTTTTGCCTCTTGTACTCCTTAAATTCATGGCACGAAATTTTTCAGCCACACATTTGTCAGAACTTGCACAGCCTCACCATGCCATTACCACACTGTGTTATGGCCACTATGCTTCTCAAATCTCACAAACCAAGCTTTTGCTGGCCCTAAATTCACTAACGAGCACTCGTTCCAAGCATTGTCTTTACGAGATCTGCTGCACTGCCTTGCCTTTTCACAAATGATCGATTCCTCATCACTACCCTCCCTGATAATCGTTTTTTTTCAGTGATCATATGAAACATTAACTTATCATATACTTCCATTATTGGTGACCCTTTGTTTCATTAGAAACATTTACTCCTTTCGCAACATTAGCTTTCTTGATTTCTACTTTCTTTGCCAGGATGGAAGTGATTGTTGATTTGGATTTCCCATACATCCTGGCAAGTTCCAGCACCCACACACCACTCTCATATTTTTCAATAACTTTTTTCTTAAATTCCATCGTGTTTCTCACTTTCTTTACCATAGGAACTTTACTAGGAACTTTCTTTGGACCCATGGTTGCTTATTTCGCAGTTGACTCAATCAAAAACCACAAAAAACAATGGATTATAGAGAAATGTTTGGATGAATGAGCAGAAATTTCCTCACTTGCCCAGAGAGACAGCCATACTGACTTATGAATGTGCTAGCGGCTGGCGGGCGGCAGGTGGATGCGTCCAATACGGCTGATAAGCGTGATGACAGCCAATAACCGGAATAAAATTTTGGACAAAAAAACGGGCGAATACCGATGTTGGCCCGAACATCCTGGACAGCTGATAACCAAGGAACCAATGTTCGTACTGACTTTTTAAATCATTCATTTAAACAGCCCAATTTATAAATCAGTCTCAATCCAGGTCTACATTTAGTTCCCAAAGGCTAGGGTCAGCAGATAATACTGCAGGTGTTTAGGAAGTCTTTCTTAGATCCATGGCAGCATTATTCCCTTCATAATACTTTCTCAGGATTCAAGTATCTTTTTTCCTTCCACTGTACTCATTTCTTCCTTCATTATTTTATGTTTGTGCAGTACAGATCCTAAATACATGTATCTAAATTCTTTAACTTCTTCAAATACTTCATTGTCCACTGTAATCATGTGCTCCTTGCATCCTGTCTATATTTCACAGATCAGACCACGAATTCTATCACTTCATGTAATTTAAAATATCACCTAAATTTTTATTTACTTTTAACTTTCTTATACAGCTACTAAAACACAATCACTGTTTTTAATCAATTTCTCCCCCTCATTCTAGCAGGCTTGGCTCTACCTGGACTATTACCATTTTACTATCAGTTCAATTTAACTCTTAACATTTATGACATCATTTAATTACCATTACTTGCTAATTACCTAAACCTGTTTTAATTCCACACATTTACTATCTTTATCTTAAATACCTTGTGCTGCCCAAATAACCTCTTAGTATAAATACCTGGGCAATTACTGAATCCAAATAAACTGTTCATAAAATTTAATACTTGAAATTAACATTACTTTTCCACGTTATTTTTGCTAATAATCTTTTTATGTAATCATTATTACTTACAAAAATTTTATTTAAACACCCATTATTTATGTAGATGATGGTTCAGAGAACCGAATGTTGTTATATTTGAAATGTGCAACTCTTGGGTATCTTTATTGAGAAACGTTCGCCCACACAGTGGCTTAATCAGCCATACGTAGGAGAAAAAACTTGAAGAACAGGAGGAGTATGAGGAAATCGTCCCTCAACCTGCGTTCGATGTGTTCAGTCATCAATCTTGAAAAGAATATCGGCATATCGAGCGGAGAAAGAAGCAAGCTTAAAACGTATTGGCAGGAGAGGTGCAGCAGTCATAGGTGGTTTCAATTTGTTCATTCATCTACAAAGTGTGTCGACACTGCAACTTTTGGGATCTTAATACTTAGGAATTATTGCTTGCTAATTCTGGGCACGACTACTTCCACATTGAACAAAAAGTGACACCACTATGACGGCTGAACCTCTCCTGGCCTTAGGTTTATAAGGCTGCTTCTCCGATCTATGCCGTATTCTTTCAAGATTGATGGACTGAACACATTGACTCAAGGTTGAGGGACTGCATTACCTCATTTCTCACTGTTATTCTAGTTTCTCCCTATCGTATCGGACTGATGAAGCCACTGCTGTGGCGAAACATTTCCTCAATAATGATACCCAAGAGTTGCCACATGTGTCTATTTTTCACCATATTTACATACCAGTTAATTTTACTTTGTACATTAATCATTATTTTATACTTTTCAATAAACATTTTGTTGCCAATTTCAACGTTAGTATATTCAACTCCAACCTTTATATTATACCTTTGTACCTGTGTCCTGTGAACCTGTCTACCATCTTACTATCATATGATACCAGTCAGTGCATTGTTATTTTTACTTATTAGTCTTTTGGTACTTTAATTTGTGGAATTTATATTTTGTCAATTTAAATCTAGTTATACTCTTGTTCTTTGTTCTAAAACCTATATCGACCCTAGTGGCAATTGCAAGCTACCATTTTAATTTGTTATTTTTATATTATAAGTTTATACCTTGTTGTACTTTAGGCTCATTCTAGCTCAATAACATAGACAAACCTAAACTAAAACTTTCCTAGTTGTAATTTAGATCATTCTAGCTCATACATAGACAACACTAAAATTCATTATATTAGGAACCTTAGTGCAATTACAAGAGTGAGTCTGGTGCCACATTGTAATTTGTTTTTTTTATAGTATTAGTTTATACTAGTTGTACTTTAGTCATTCTAGCAACAACACATAGAAATATCAATTTCATTATGTTTATTAGTGACTATACTCTATATGACAAAGTGCTTTTAGCGGTCTACTTATCCAAACCTTCCACCACTACAGAAATCGTATTTAGAATCACACATAATACAGGATATAAACAACCACTATTTAAACCTAAAAAGTTGAATGATCTCGTGGACCCTGATCTAAACCTCCAATAATTAACACACAATCAAAACTTAATAGAATGTAAATGCCTTATTACACAGCATCTCAAGCCAGCCACTATCCTGGCCTGCTCAAAGTCTATCAGTCTTATACAACATCAGCGTCCTTAAGCAAAACACTATGGATGACTCCTGGCACTCCTTGAGTCACTAAAGACCCACCCTTCTCCTTGCATTATTCAGTACTGGGGGACTGCTTAAGCAGCGACACAATAGATATCTTCCCACTACCAGGATACACAGCAATCCACAACTGCAAGACCATACCATGTTGGGGGGTGGGTACTGCAATCTATTACTCTAACCAACTATCTTGTATTAGCATAAATTGCTTTAGTGATGTATTTGGGGGGAAATACATTTTTGCTTAATATTACTGTAAAAATCCTCAAGACGCCTATAACAATCGGTGCCATATACGGATACCCCACACAAACATCCAAAACTTCAGTGAGAATCTAAAACCAAACCAGCTTGGACTGAGACAAGTGCAAACGTAATAGACCACCACTATGGACCAATAATACTAGCCCCCTTAGATCAGGGATAATCACGACACAGCAACTATGTCACTACCTCCAACCTTCCTCCTTAAACCAACTTTAGTAAGCCACAACTCGAATACAACAAAGTTTCATTTAGTCTCCATGACGAGCCACAATATGGATTTTCACAGCAGACCTAGCAGACTGTTGGGATGGCATACAGAATTCTCCAATTTGCCAATGGTTTTGATGTTTGGACAGACCTCTTTCTTAACATAAATATTAGGACTATTACAACATGTCCTATATATAACGAAACAGATCACGAAAATAATAGGCTTGGTTTGCCCCATGGCTAACCAGCGCATCTGAAATCATTGATTAGAAACATCAATATGAAAAGCAATATAGACAGGGCTTAATACACTATGATATTCTTAAACATTATTCAAAAGTTCTACAAATAATAAAGAAAGCCAAACAACTGTACTACTCCAGCAGTTTCACTGACACAAGAGGAGATATAAAAAAGGCCTGGAAAACCGTTCCCAGATTCTGGGGACCCACAAAACTGAAAAAAAAACATGAATTTTGTTCTAATTAAAACTCATGAAACAACCACTTGCATCCCACTGGATAAAAGTCTAACAAGATATAAATGACTTCTCAACATAGGATCTAATCTAGCCAGTTAACATAATCCCATGTTCCAATGCCCTATGCCGGGGACTACCTAGATGGGGAATTTCCCAATTTCCTTCTATCTGTGTACCAAATGAAGCCCACGGAAGTCCACCGCGATCATGAAGTCACTTAAAAAGACTCGGAGGGATCTGTCTCACATCCCACCATTATTGTACTAGCGAGCGTCCCATGTCATTTTTGCATGATATACATTACTTTTTGACCAAGTCTCTAGAAACTGCACTTTCCTGACACTTACTCAAGACAGCAAGGGTTTCACCAATACATAAAGGTGGTGACCCTACAGACGTAAAACAACTATAAGGCCAATATCAAATTTTCCATTGCTATCAACCATCTTCGAGAAACTCGTGACAGGAGGACTATATTCATTTTTAAAGTCACAAAACATACTTCACCACTGCCAATTGGATTCAGGGAAAAATAAAAGCACTAATGATGCAATTATAAAAATGCTAGACCTGCTTTACACAGCACTGAAAAATAAAGAATATCAGCTAGGAATTTTTACTGACCTAAGAAAAGCATTTGACACAGTAGACCACGGCATCCTAACCCCTGCCAATTTGGATTCAGGAAAAATAAAAGCACTAATGATGCAATTATAAAAATGCTAGACCTGCTTTACACAGCATTGAAAAATAAAGAATATCAGCTAGGAATTTTTATTGACCTAAGAAAAGGGTTTGACACAGTAGACCACAGCATCCTACTCCACAAACTTGACCCTTTGGTTATGAGGGCCATGCGCTTGCATATTTCAAATCCCTACCGTTCTAATAGGGTATCAGTATGTCCACCATTAAAGACACAGCCTCATCAATACGGCCACCTTGATACTGGAGTTTCCGGCACAGGGAAGTGTCCATTGGACCTGCTATTCCTATTTACATCAATGAATCTTCACAAACATATTCAACACCTGAAAACCTTCTCTTTGCTGACGAAATGACTTATGTCATCTCCCACCCTATATCTTGCCACCCTCACACCATTGTTAACGAGGAAGCTGCTCTCAAAATATTGATTTGGTATGACAGCAAATAAAATTACAGTGGAGAATCAAAAAATCGAACGTTTACATATCGAACGTTTCGAAACTAGGACTCATTTTTTCGGACAAATTGTGTCCCTTATTATCGAACGTGCCCCTATTTTTGGACGCCGGGTATGGGACCTGTTTGCCACCGCTCTGTCTGCGCATCCCGCGCAGGCGCCATGAACAGTCTAGCTTTGTTTATGTTAAGTGAACACTAACCTGCGCCTCTCATTCACGCATTTTATGATTGTTTCGTTGTGTTTAGTGCTTTGGGACTGTGAAATAAGCTGCTTGGGCCCAAAGAAACTTGCTGTGGTAAAGAAAGTGAGGAATGAGAAACCACCATAGGATGTGAAGAAGGAAATAATACAGAAGTATGAGAGTGGTGTGAGGGACTTGTTGGATTGCCAGGATGTATGGGAAAAAATAGTCGACCATCGGATTCTTATCCTGTCAAAGAAAGAACAAATTCAAGGTAAGATGATGTTGCATAGGTGTTAATATTGGGAGAGTGCGTTGAGGTGCCTTCTTCAAGATTAAGGAGATTTGTGCCACGATGGAATGATGTCCAATTGTTTTGTGCAGAAGTTCCACCTGGAGCAAGCTGAAACAAGTCCAATCTTTGCAAACAAGTTTCAGTTGACAGAAACCATGTCCCATTTTAGGGAAATGTTTAAGAGGTGCAGAAAACAGAGGACTGTGGACAGTTTATTTTGTGAGGGACTGGGGTTCCAGTGACTCTCAAGTGGTCCTTGTGGCATTAAAAGACAGAGAAGGGAAGTAACCCAGAGGAGGGCTTTACCTCGGAAGGTACTAATGGTGGGGGTTTCTCCTTACAAACACTAACCCCATAACTTTTCCCCTCTCTCCTTCGCCCTATCTTCCAGATGCCATCAACCAATCTTCCATAAGGTAAGCTAAAAATGTTATTTTATTTGTATTACTATACGTATTTAAAAACTATAGGTATTCGTTGTATGTAAAACTATAATAATCTTATAAAATGTGTTTTTTTGTGTGAATATTTTTGGGTTTCTGGAACGGATTAATTGTATTTCCATTATTTCTTATAGGAAATATTGCTTCGAATTTCAGACTTTTTGAATTTAGAACTAGCTCCTGAAATGGATTAAGTTCGATTTTTGAGGTTCCACTGTACATATAACACTGGCAAAACCTACTATATTATGTTTGGTAGCAGAGCAGGTGTTGCGCAACTTAACATTAAGATCGACAACACTCTAATTGCCAGACATAATGAGGGCAAATTCCTTGGCCTATACCTCGACAACAACCTAAATTTCAGCACCCATATCCAACACATAACAAAAAAGTATCCAAAACGGTGGGGATCCTCTCCAAGATACGATATTACGTGCCGCAAACTGCCCTTCTCACACTATACCATTCACTTATATATCCATACCTCACCTATGCTATCTGTGCTTGGGGTTCAACTGCAGCAACACACCTAAAGCCAATAATAACCCAACAAAAAGCCGCAGTAAGAATAATCACTAAATCCCATCCCTGGCAACACACCCCCCCCACTCTTCATAGATCTAAACTTACTTCCTGTTCAGAACATCCACACTTACTACTGTGCAATCTATATCTACAGGACCTTAAATTCCAATATTAACCTTGACTTAAAATGCTTTCTTGATAGTTGTGACAGGATCCACAGGCATAACACCAGACACAAACATCTCTATGACATTCCCCATGTTCGACTAAACCTTTACAAAAATTCAATGTATTTCAAAGGACCTAAAATCTGGAACACCCTATCTGAAAACTCTAGAACTGCAGACACATTCATCACTTTCAAAACTAAAATTAGAAAACATCTTATCTCCCTGATACACCCCAACAATTTACTAAAATGTTTAACCCCCTTTGGTGGTTCGAAAATTACACCATTTTCACCCACTTACTATAAACCCAAAATACTAATCTTAATTTTAAAAATAAAAAATTTCCTAACCAGTCAAAATTTGGCCTATGATATTTCAATATAAAACATTTTGTATTGGGGCCAAAACAAAAGTTTTCCCATTGCAAAACTCACAAATTATAAGGGTAGTCATTTTAGCCTTAAACCAAAAACTGTAAGGATTTAATTTTAAAATTTAAATCAAAATTCCCCCAAAAATGCCTAGCCAGGCTGGGTTTCCCCTAGTGGCCCCCTCTGTAATTAGTTTTTTACAACCTGTAAACCCCACATTGAAACCCTTAAGAAATAAACTTAAATTAAATTTTGAATTGAATTGAATTAAAACCTTTTGATTTTATCTCAGTTCGTCTATTTATCAAAAGTATGTAAAAACCCCCCAACTATCCAATAAAAAAACTTTTTTAAAGCCCCCCAGAAATACTCAAATCTACTCAGTCAAAAAGCTTTTTCCATAAATTCAAATAAAAAACTAATTCTTTTTTTCAAAATATACTTACAAATTTTTATATAGCCCAAATAAATGAGCTTACCTTAGGCAAAGGGTCCCTTTTCCAAAGCTCAAGAAGTGTTTTTAAAACCCCAACATGCCCCTTTTTAAACTAAACATGGAGAGGATTTTGCCGTCGTTTACTACGAGCATTCAAGTCTGCACCACACTAGCCAGAATCCCAACCAACCTGGTTCATCACCCAAAAGAAAGCATTTGAGGGCCAACGGCCTCCACCCTTTGTCCTACAATAAACTTTCCATTTATTTCATTTAACACAAATTTAACATACTAATTAAAACTAATCCCTTTGGGCAAAACAATGCTAACAAAACAAACAATGCAAACCCCTAAATAAAAAAAAAACCCAAGAACTAGCAAGAAAATAGAAAAAAACCCCAGAGGGTCTGAAATTTAATGTTTGTACATGCATGTGTAGGTTTGACCTAAGTGAAAGTAAAAGGTAATGTATAAAAAATTGTTCTGGTAAAAAGCCATGATGAAAGAAAGAATATTGAAGTTTTTTTTTTTTAAAACAAACCACCTACCCCAAAACAAGGCAGGGGGGCCCAAAAAAAAGAAAAATGAAATTTTTCTCTTTTTAAACCCCTTTTTGGGGCCCGACGGGCCCTCTCCGAAACTCGTTCTAAAGGGTGGGCCAAAAATTTAAAAAAAAAAAAAATTATTTTCCCCTTATAACAAAAAGAGAATCTTTTCCCCGATCATAAAGACACCAAAAATTTTTAAAAATTTTATAAAAACTTACGGAATTATGCCTTTGCAAAGTTAGCGGGCCCCGGCGATGTTTACGCATCGGCGATTTGCCCACTTTTAGCCCCATTTTTTTGGGCCCAATTTTTACTGACTAGTCCCAAAAAAACATGAAATTTTGATAGAACCCATTTTTTTTTCGAATGGGTGGGAAGAAACCACTCCCTTTATGGAATTCAAATATCCGTAAAGTGGTCAGAATTTTTGCAATTTTGCCCAATTTTACACAAATTTTTTAAAAATTTCCAATTTCCCCCAAAAGGGGGGCCAAATTTAAAAAAAAAAACATTTCCCGGGCCCAAAATGACATTTCCCTCTAAACCCCCTTAACAATAATTTAAGGGCCCCCCTTTTATTTTTTTGCTTCCACTTTGAATTTTTTTTTTCAAAAAAAAATATAAGATTTACT